TTTTACTTTGAACTAAAAGCACATAGTTACATTCTGAAGTTACTGAAAAGGCATGTATGCAGTCTATAACGCCTACAACAGAGAGCACCCGAATAACCCTACACGAATTCCATATCAAGTTAGGATCGTTTTAGTAGCTTCGGATCGTCAAATGATCAAAGATCCATCGTTCTTGCATATTTTTAACCTATTTGGAAATTTTAATATCGATTATCGTGATTTTACGAACACTCGCATGCATGTTTTCTTGGCCAAGCGACGATTGCATTCAACATTATTTAAATGCGGGCTTTCCAATGGTCTAACAGACTTTTGTCCAGTCAGGTTGGTGCTAGTCGCATTTAGCACTGTCTTTTGTTTGTCACTTGCAGAAATGCAGTTTGCTCTTGTGTGCCTTTGGTGAATTCTTTTCATTAATATTTGTCGTTTAACTGCTAAATACAATCCCTGATCGATTTTTTTATCAGATCAGAAATTGGGAATTGGACATTGGGATATCGGCTAGGTTTTTTTCTAGTCTATTAGTCTAAAGAGTGATGTTATTAGACGCGGATATTCTTCGACGGTGTTATGTGAAGGAATAAAATGTGATCTTAAGGATAAATAATCAGAGAATGGATCTTCCTTGCTGCAGCTCCTCTATTTTAAGGTATGGTAAGCAGTTGTACGCCTATAGATTAGGGTATTCAAAGGGGCATACCGTAACAGACGAGTAGCTTCCAGTAATAGTCGTCGTTGCATTGTTGGTAAGTGCATCGAGCTTTAAAGAATGACTGTCTCTGGAGTGAACGGAAATCGGTCTGTTCTTTAGCTAGTACAGACGAATTTGTGCGATATTTGTTGTCATTCTGCGTCTTGTTGAGTTCTTTTGCGAGTGTTCCCTCAACGTAAAACTTGGGACGAATGCCACTTCAGAGTGTTTTGTATGGGCTTCATGTTTCATTTAGGCATTTCATTAAGCGGTTTGCAAGATCGTTTTTAGTGTGTTGTATTTGTTGAGAGTTAGTGCGTTTAACTTAAGTGTTTTGCAGGCTTTAACGTAGAATACCCTTCCTCGCCTCCGAAACTAGCCAACGAAGTTGCAGTCATACAAGAACCTTCAGAAGGTCAGACAGATTACTGCGCGCTTGGCGTCGATGATTTGGTCAGATCGTCTATAAGGCTGTCGGAAAACGCTAGTTTGCCGACTGAACCCACTACGCACTGTGCGCAACTTCCTACAGTCACCTTTCCCTCGACTGAAGCTGTACAAGTATCAGAAGCTTCCACTGCTCCACAGACGAACTCGATCTCTCTTCCACCAGTTAAGAAGCACGCCGGACGCCCGCCAAAGATTCGTAGGCTCATCGTGGGCGAAATCGCCGGCAAAAAGGTGCGGCGTATTTGTGGCGTTTTGAAGGCCGAAAATGGTCTGTTGTACAGTTTGCTGCAGTTCGAAGACAGTTCGATGTCCATGGTTTCGAACAGAGTTGTTAATATCAGGTGTCCAGAGATTATGATCAGGTACTACGAAGGGTATTTGAAATGGCAGGTGGTTTCCGCGTGAAACTATTTGGTACTTATATTTAAAATTTATGCTGAAAGCTTGTAAATATATTTTTGTTCATACATTCTGAAATAATTTCTGACGATGAACAAAATGTATACGTTCCATAATGTCAGTATGGTAATACAGTCTCTCGATTTACTCTGTGCCTGCAGATATTGTATTAGAATATTCTTCCTCAAAATAATTGGTTTGCGTTTTATCAAATATTTCCGGTACTGCGTTCTGTTCTTTCAAAATAAACTTTTAAAGTGAGCTAGGAATATTCCCGGTTAGAATAGATA